AAAAAAAAAAAAGAAAAATCAGATTATGAAACCATAGCTACACCATACTATTTGTAAAATATATGCATATCTCAATATTGAAAGGCTGACAAATCATCAGGTTCCAGTAGACAGAAAAAGTCCAGAAAGCTATACACTCATACAGTGCTTTTCTTTTTCTCTTGATTTTTTTTTTCTTGGAAAGAAATAATAATTGCCTACACACAAGAGACAGGTTTCTTTACATAGACATTTGAAGAGAACATTTCCTTTGACATAGGCATTTCATTGTACTGATGAATGAAGAAAGGTGAAGCTCACATGGCTAATCTTAGCCAAAGTGTATTTGTGTGTGTGTGTGTACGTGTGTGTGTATACACATGTGTGCGTGTGTATGTGTTCCAGAATATTGTTAATGCAATCTGAGTCATAAAATCTCAAAATTTCACCAGGGATCAAGTAACTAGATACTTGAAAACAAAGCTGATGGAAAATACCTAAAGCAACCTCAAGAAGGTCATGCCTCAATAACCAGTTTTTAGAGATAATATACTGTTGCATTAGACTTGACCCTAAAACTTACATATTTCTTTGAGATATAATTGACATACAACATTATATTAGTTTCAGGTATATAGCATGATTCGGTATTTGTATATATTGCAAAATGATCACCACAGTTTAGTTAATATCCATCATCATACATAGTTACATTTTTTTCTTGTGATGAGAACTCTGAAGATCTACTTTCTTCGCAACTTTCAAATATACAATACAGTATTATTATTGTAACAGTATTATTAACTATAGTCACCATGCTGGGCATTACATACCCATGACTCATTTAAAACTGAAAGCTTGAACTTTTTGCCCACCTTCATGCATTTCACCCACCCCCCACCTCTGGCAACCACCAATCTTTTCTCTGTATCTGAGTTCAGGTTTTTTTTTTTAAGATTTTATTTATTTATTTGAGACAGAGAGAATGAGAGCGAGAGAGCACATGAGAGGGGGGAGGGTCAGAGGGAGAAGCAGGCTCCCTGCCGAGCAGGGAGCCCGATGCGGGACTCGATCCAGGGACTCCAGGATCATGACCTGAGCTGAAAGCAGTCGCTTAACCAACTGAACCACCCAGGCGCCCAGGTTTTGTTTTTTTTTTTGAGGGGGTGGAGGATTAGATTCCTCATATAAGTGTGATCATACACTATTGCTACTTGTCTTTCTCTAACTTATTTCCATTTAGGGTAACATCCACCCATGTTGTTGCAAATGGCAAAATCTTCTTTTGAATGGCTGTATAATATTCCTCTGTATATACGGCACATATTTTTCTTTTGATCTTGATGAGAATTTCAGTATATGAAGTTACTGATTCAATGGCCATATCTTAAATTAAAATGAACCTTTGTTATGTTTTAAGTGGAAGTTGTTTTCCAAAATGTGCAAAGTTCATTCTTTTAAACAGTATTTACTTGGTCTTGGAGAAGTACATTAAATTTGGATTGTTTTGCTAAATTGTTCTTGTTTTCTTCAGCTACCAGTAATACAACACTCTCTGATTTTTATGTATGCTCACCACTGGATTACTGCCTAAAAGATGGGTAAAGTCTCTGAGAATAGTCTTACATATACTGATGTTGAGTTTTCTTCACAGAGCTATTTCCCACCCTGTTAGTCACATCCTCCAGAAAGTTGCTGAATTATTCTATTAGTTTCACTTACATCAACATCATGAGAATAAAACAGGTAATGTAGGAGTTACCATGTGATCCAGCAACTCCACCCCTACATATATACCCAAGAATAGAAAATACACCTTCACTCAAAAAAAAAAAAAATCCAAAACAACTTGTACACAAGTGTTTGTATTTATAACAGACAAAAAGTGGAAGAAACCCAAATGTCCATAAACGGATAAATAAAATGTGGTATATGCACGCAAGGGAATATTATGCAGCCACAAAAATCAGGGTTATTTTATACAAGTTACAACGTGGATGAATCTTTTTTTTTTTTTCCTAAAGATTTTATTTATTCATTTGAGACACAGAGATAGAGAGAGAGAGAGAGCATGAGCAGTGGGAGAGGCAGAGGGAGAGGGAGAAGCAGACTCCCTGCTAAGCCAGGAGCCCGATGTGGGGCTCGATCCCAGGACCCTGGGATCATGACCTGAGCTGAAGGCAGATGCTTAACCATCTGAGCCACCCAGGCGCCCCAACAACGTGGATGAATCTTGAAGACATCATGCTAAGTGAAATAAGCTAGTCACAAAAGGACAAATATTGTATGATTCCTCTTATATGAGATTCTTAGAATAATCAAATTCATAGAGACAGAAAGTGGATGCCAGGGACTGGGGTGGAGGGTAGAAGGGGGATGAAAAGTGTTTAATGGGTAGAGTTTCAGTTGGGGAAGATGAAGAAGTTCTGAAGATGACTGGTGGTGATGGTTGCAGAACAATGTGAATATACTTAACGCTAGTTAACTGTACACTTAAAAATGATTAAATGTTGGGGCACCTGGGTGGCTCAGTTGGCTAAGTGTCTGACTCTTGATTTCAGCTCAGGTCACAATCTCAGGGTTGTGAGATGAAGCCCCACATCAGGCTCCGCTGGGCGTGAAGCCTGCTTAAGATTCTCCCTCCCCATTCACCCCTCTAAAAAAAGGTTAAGCTGTGAAATTTTGTTATGTATAATTTACCACGTAAAAAAACAAATGCAGTACTTACACATAATTAATAGTGGTGCATTAACAGTGGTACTGGTTATACAACCCTGTGACTATATTAAAAACTACTAAATTACATACTTTAAAAAGATG